TCTCTCTCTCTCTCTCTCTCTCTCATTCATTCAGGTGTCTTTCCCTTTATCACTTCTTCCTGCCTGTATCTATTTGCTGCTCAACAGTTAGCTATTCTTTATCTCACTTGCATACTCTCATATGCCTATTTCTACTCTTTTTAAATAACCCACAAAATCAAAATCAGAGTTTTGTTGCTTTTAGTCAATGTCTGTTACCTACGAGGTCATGTTCAAGCCAGTTTACACCTAATAATCACTTTTAACACATTTACAGACAAAATTTACATTCTTTTTCTTTCGGAACACTCACTATAAATCCTGATGACTCATCCAGCACTGTACAGAATTCCATCCAATCAAATGCTCCCTAGAAAGAGAATGCCCCGCCCTCTAATACAAACTGCAACTCATTTTCAGCAATCTTTTTTTTAACCCTTCTAAACTTTTTTTTTTAAATTGACACGGTGACTTTTTTATTGACTTAGATTTATCTAATCCTCTTTTTTGTTTTGTTTTGTTTTGTTTTTTCAAATTACATTTCTAAAATAGTCACCAAGTTTAAAAGAAATCAGCCAAAAATGACTGAAAAGCTTACAAGGGTTAAAGAAAAAATCCCTTCAATATGTAATTAAACTTACTCAAACCAAAACTGTAGGCTAAGGCTTCATTTTCTTTTTGCCATCTCTATCCCTCTGGCTCCTTTTCTTTCTTTATCACAGTCATCTCTACAGGCTCTTCCATCAGCCCTCATTACTGTCTGCCGCAGAAAAACATTTGCCTTTTACCCCTCAGAGCTCTCCGATTTCTGCATTATCTAATCTTTTCATTTCATTTTCATCTTTTTCACTCAATCCTTTGTTCCATCAAGCAAAAGACATGAAAAGAAAAAGTCTGAAGCCATCAGACAGTACTAAAAAAGTCCATGAAGTCCAACAACATGTTGTGGCTCCGCTGAAACCTGCCGGAGTCCCCAGCGGCTCTGAAAGACCATTCGACTGTGTGCGAAACAGGAATCAACAGAGCAATGCAAAACCCCCCCCGCTCTCTAAAAGTCCCCTCAGAGAAAGACCAAAATAATGGCTCCGGTGGCAAACACAATGAGCCCAAAAACTCCAAAAAGGACAGAAAAACAGTGCATATTGCTTCTAACTAAAAAAAGCACAAATGGAGGAATGACCACTATGGGAAAGAAAAACCATAAGACTGAGAGAAAAACCCAGAATGGCACACAAAAACACAGGGTGCCAGGCACCTCACTGCAGCTGCTCTCTGAGGCCAGACTAAAACAGCTGCTATAAAACAACACACAAACACAATCACACCAACACAACACAAGACACGCACGGTAGCATATCATCTATTAGGTCACATATTGACACTAACACACACACATCTGTGGAAAATCTCACCCAACAAGCAGGTCTCTGGTGTGTGTGTGAGAGAGGCAGGCAGCTGGCCATCGATGAGACATTTCCTTCTCATTCAACTCCACAAAACACACACACACACACCTGAGATCCGTTACAAATGAGGATGGACTGGTTTCACCTGCCGCACTGTTAGACGTGTACCGGCACGACAACATACAGCCAGAACATGTACACAACAATACATGCAGCACAACACACACACGGTTTATCACGCCAGGTGAAGCTGTCATGAATAGACTGAAGATTAAGTCATTCTGAATCATATAAATGCCTCATATTTTAGGTTTACACACAAAAGATACTTATGACCTTAAATATCCTTTTGTGTTATTATGAAAGCATGCATGGAAAGCTTTAATGGAGGAAACACACATACACACACACACACACACACACACACACACACACCTGAGGT